TTGGTTGAAGCCACAGCTGCTGTTTTGGAGAAGAATCTTCCATTAGAGTCAAAGCGACATCTGGTGGCTGGGGGACAAAAGGCCATGTTCAGGAAGCTGGTGTTGTGGCTGATGCGGTAGCATGTGTAAGTGCACAAGGTCCTGGTGACTGGCATGTGAGGGCAGCACTGTGGCACTCTCTGAGTCCTTCTTTGTTTCCAGGGAGRCTTGTTGCTGCTGATAGATGCCACGGAGAGAAGCAATCCAATGCCACGACAAGCACAGAGATGCTCACTACATGGGGCTGTTAAGTAATAATGGTTGTAATGGCAGGAGCTAGGCACAGTGGCACCTATAGTCCCAGTTGCTCAGAAACCTGAGGCAAAAGGATCTCTTGAACCCAGGAGTTGGAGGCCAGCCTAGGCAACATAGCAAGAGCCTGTCTCAAAAAAATATAATAATAATAGTAATAGTAGTAGTAGTAGTAGTAGCAGCAAGTTTCTTAACCTCTTTGTGTCTTAGGTCTCCTCATCTCTACATAGAAGTTTGCCACTATTATTACAACAAAACTTACTTCAGGAGCCATTTCAAAACAGGGTTTGGAAAACAGGTAGTATCTCCTGGATCAATTTTATTCTGATAGAATATTTTTACATCAAGGGACTTCTGACATTCATGTCRTTGCCCTCCATGGTAAGGTTCATCATCTCCCTGGGTGAGATTGATAAGAAATCTGCAGAAATGGTGGCTGGAGGCAGGTCTTGTTAGTTTTTCATCCGTAAAGAAATAGAGAAAGGAAGAAAAACTTTGAACAGCCAAGGAACGGGGCCAGGGCAAAGTCAAACAGGATGTCAGGCCTCGCGCTGTGACACCGCGTGCTCTTCTTTATCCTCGAAGTATCAGAGAAGCTGAGCACGCTGTTAAATGGGGCAGTTCCCAGTGCAAACTTCCCCTGTTGATAAGGGGGCCTTTTGAAGAATTCTTGTCTCTTGAACCTTCTCAGCATGGATGGAYGGTTTTTGAACTGTATACTACAGAATTAGAGCTAACTTGTCCTGATTTTTGAAGCATTTTGTGCAAAAAGATTTTCTTAGAATTCTAAGAAAATATGTTACAAATGGGTTCCTCTTCGGTCCCCAGCCCAAGCCTTGGAATTGGTCATATTTTCAGATTATAAAGAGGTCAAAGGATATACCTGGATTTCAGTGTCCCTGAGTTCTTAGACTGTCACCTTCGGGACCCTAGCTACCCCTGTGAGCTCAAAGTGGGCTCTGTGAAGAGAGGAAGGCAGGAAGAGGGATACTTGCTACCAGCTGAAGTTATGGTCAGAAATCCCAAAGTGGAGCTATCTTGTGAATCGGATGGGGCTAGTGTTTGTGTCTCTGGGTTAAGCTAGCCCAAAGTAGGCCCAGTGCCTCTAGGCTCTTTGATTCTCTGGTTCCATAACTGTATTTTCTCCCTAGAAAGCTTGCCAGTTGCACAGTGAGGACAGCACAGGAAAGATGTAGACTTGTGAGATTCAAAGACAGCCTCTCTGATTCTTCAGAAAACTTGGAATGGAACCATCAGTTGACCCAGTTATCCTACTCCTCAGCATATACCCAAAGGACTTATAATCATACAATAATGACACAGCCACATCAATGTTTATAGCAGCTCAATTCACAATCGCTAAGCTATGGAACCAACCAAGGTGCCCTTCAACAGATGAATGGATTAAAAAATGTGGTATATATACACAATGGAATATTGCTCAGCCATAAAGAAGAGTGAAATTATGGACTTTGCCGGTAAATAGATGAAATTGGAGACTGTCAYGCTAAGTGAAATAAGACAACCCCCCAAAAACCAAAGGCTAAATGTTCTCTCTGATTTGAGGATTCTAACACACAATAAATGGCAGGAGAAAGAATAATAGAAATTCAGTGGATTAGACAAAAGAGAATGAAAGAAAGGGAGGGGGATRGGAATAGGAAAGACAGTAGAATGAATCAGACATCAGTTTCCGATGTTCATATATGAATACACAACCAGTGCATTCATCATGTACAACCCCAAGAATTAATTAGAATAAGTTATACTCCATCTATGTATAATATGTCAAAATACATTCTAGTGTCATGTATATAAAAATAAAAAATAAAAATAAATAAATGACAGCCTTCTCTCTAAAGTGGGGAGAACTTTCATGAGCCATCCATCTTGTCTCTTGCCTTGGTTTCCTCTGGCTTTCTAGGGGAGAAGACCCTTTCAAGCTTGGTTAGACTTTGGGGACCCTCTCACTACATTAGTCTCATGGGAAAATAAAAAGGTGAATTGAAAGGGAGGAACCCATAAGGAAGGGGTGCCCACCAACCAGATAGCCTTAGAACATCTGAGCACAGCACGCTGGAGGTGCCCAAGAATGCCCCCGCTGGCCCTTCAGAGGGGTGGGGCCCGGCAGAGGCCTTTGGTACTGTTGAAATGATTGAGGAGTCAATGATCGAGTACCTTGCCAGGTTTACTCTAAAACACATCATGATCAGAATTTGCCCCAAGGAAGCCCGACATCATTTAAGAGAGACAGGGAAAAAAAGATAACGTGAGGGTTCTTTTTGTTCACAGAATAAAATTTCTCTTTATTCACAGCGGTAGGTTTATGTGGGAGTCGTGAAGTCTTATTCAAGCTTGAGAAAAGGTAACTCTCTCATCGGGCAAAATGGCCACTTTTGATTGTTTTGCATCATTTGAGAATGTTTGTATCACCAGAATCACACAGTTTTAGGAATGGAAATTTCCTAAAGGAGACAGTCACATCATGAGGAGTCACTCTGCAGATACACGAGTCCCTGGTAAACGTGACAGAGTATCTCCCACAGCACTGTTGGTAACAACACCACCAGTGACAAAACCAGGCAACAGCCACCCTTGGTGGGTCAGGACATCTATGGTGCATCTACATAGGCAGCTGGCAGAGCGAACCCGGGAGAGGCCTCTAGCAGTGATCATCAGGTGATGAAGCAGGCTGTACAACACTGTGTGCTGTGTATCTGTGTGTACCACGATTTTATTTGAGTGAAAGAAATGMATTTTTAATATGCTTCTAAATGCTTAGCAGAGCTCTAAAAGAACACCCCAAACTGGGGGATTCTTACATTTCTACTTCTATCTTTTAAACCGTTTGTATATCTTCCTATAAGCATGTTGGGTTTTTATTTTTGTAATTTGAAAAAGTCACTTAATCTGCACCTTGACCACTGACACATCTCCATCAGTCATCTGGCTATCCTTGAATCCTGCCAGGGACAGAGAACTYACTACCTCTTAACCACAAGACAGTGCTTTGACGCAGAACGCATAGGTGCTTAGTTACTATTTAGAAATGAGTTGGGTATCCAGAGGGCTGGACCTATTAATCCTATTTTTAGAGTTCTGGAGTTGGGTGTCACACAATGTTGATAGTTAATGTTTTTTTTGTTTTTTTTTTTTTTTTAGTTAAAAAAATAGTTTTGAATATGTGAGCAGAAACTAATTGGGGGAAGTGTGTCCTCTGCCAAGAGGCTTCCAACTACCAGGAGGGCTGGGAGCATAGCTCAGTGATAGAGCCCCTTCTTAGCATGCAGTGAGGCCCTGGGTTCCTGGGTTCCATCTCCAACACTGGAAAACACACACACACACACACACACACACACAACCCTGGAGGAAAAGAATAAGAGACTCTTGGGAAGATGTTTTAAGGAGGTTATTAAGAATATGCTAACAAAAGAGCTTTGTTTTCAAAGAACCTGATTTCTAGATGCAGCTGGGGAGTAGGAAGCATCATCGCCTGGGAGTAGAGCTTTGGTTCTCAGCAGGAAGGCTGTCTAGAGAGTGTCGGATCCAGGGTGGTGTGGCTGGATTGATTCAAGGGCAATCGTAGGCAAAAGAAGGGTGACTTGATCTGGGCTGGAGAGATGAGGAGCAGGGGCAGGTGGCTGGGGAGCCTTTGGTGGTGGAAGGAAATACACTTGAGAACCTGCAGGGATGGGGCGATCAGGCCCGCCTGGGCTGGTGGGAAATGTCTGGGGAACCTTTCACTTTTCTTTCTCTTGATGCCGGGGTTTGAACCCTGGGCTTCAGGGGGTGCTAGGCAAGTGCTCTACCACTGAGCTACACCACCAGCCCAAGACTTTTAGCAATTTTGTGAATTTGCTAGGGATTGAACTCAGGGCCTTGTAAGTGCTAAGCATGTGCTTGTCACTGACTACAGCCCCAGTCCCTTCTTTCCTTTTTTAGGATGGTTCCCAGGGGAGAATCAATCTCTCTCTCTCTCTCTCTCTCTCTCTCTCTCTCTCTCTCTCTCACACACACACACACACACACACACACACACACACACACACACACACACACACTTTTGGAGTCTTGCCTTGCTGCAGACCTGGGTGACCCATCTTGGAGACCCACCCACGGCAGGTCAACAAGCCTGTGCCTGTAATATGTATCTCACCGAGATCCCTGCCACCCGAGAAGTCTTCCAGCCAGCAGGGTCCCAATTCTTTGCACCATGCGAAACATAGAAGCTAAGAGCAGGGACTGTCTTGGCATATTCTTGTACTTATTTTATTTTTTAAATAATTTTTTTTCTCATTTATATATCAAAAGTGAAAAAGCATATAAGTCAACACAACTTYGAGAACATTCAGCCCCACATTTGGGGACTCCTATGGTAACCATGTGTGGCTGTCACTGTCCAGTGCATAATGAATTCAGAAACAAACAAACAAACAAAAAACAGTGAATGAGGCTATTTCGGGAGAGAGGATGTCAGGGTGACTCAGCTTCCATGAGATGACACTCATTTTGCATCTACGCGCAGTTCTGCAGTAAGCGGGTCTTGGTGCRGTACCCCAGCTGGTCGGTTTTCAAAAAGATGAATTAAGTGGGGTGGTTGAGTCCGAGCTAGCTGTCTCCTCCATCCGCCCCCCCTCACGTGTCCACTGCTCACACATAGCAGCCGGAAATGACACATTGAAGTGAGTCACCACTGCGGCTGTGAGTCACCCTGTAATTGGGGAAAGTTCTGTCCTGGTAGGTCATTCAGCCCCTTGCATTTCTGCTCCTAAATATATTGGAAAAATCTGAAACCATCCTGTCCTCCCTCAGGCCTCTCTCACCCACCCCATCCTTTTGGTGTCTAATGAGGGCTGCAATTTGACCACCTTGGCAGGGACCCTAAATCCATCAGGTGGAAAGAGAGGTGCTGTGGGGTCAAGCAGCCACAAGGTGGCAGTGTGCGCACCGCCTCGCTTGCGCCCATGGGGGGATGAGGGTGGAGTGCCAGGCTCTGAGGTGCATGACACAGCCCACGAAGGAACATTCTGAGCAAGTTTAAATAACACTTTCCCCTTAACAGCCCTCACCCTCTCTAACACGCACACAGGGCAAGGCTGAGATAAATACTCAAACACACCCCTGGCCTCCCCCTCCCCACCAGGAGATCTGGGGTGGGGGGCCAGGCACACATCTGACCTTTCTTCCTCAATTCCTACAAAAATAAAGTTTATGGGAAGCAAAAATCTGCTTCTATAAGTAAACAAGTCACCTACACTCCAAAATAATATATGTGGGATGCTTCTGGGGTGGGCGGGGGCAGGGAGGCTGGGCACGGGGTGGGCATTGGGTCCGCCCATCTGCAGCTAGAGTGGACTTTGAGATGAAAGAGCGTTTCTTCCATGGCCTTCTCTGGCCTGTCGCCAGCCTCGGCAGGGGTGGCAGACAGCGCAAGAGTGACAGCAGCGTGACTGGAACACAAATGGTCTCTAGCAAGCACACAGAAGCTCCTGCAGGCCCCGTGGTTCCATTCTGCCAGGGCCTCCGTGGGAAGCAGGTCCAAAGGCCGAGCAGGCAGGGAGATGGGCAGAGGCAGCTGTGCCCGCCATTCCTTCCGCAGGTTTTCCGGTCTGGCTTGGAGACCTTTGTGCTCAGGGGTCTCTCACAGGCGGGCTCTCTAGCTGCAAGATCCTCCCACCTCCGAAAGAGGCSGAGGTCATAGAGTCGACTGGAAAGAATTTACCATTGGGGAAAAAGATACAAATGCCTTCTCTCTCCCCAGAAAGAGTCATCACAACAAAAATTCCTTTCTCCRGAGTTTGCTTCTTCCCTTCACGACACATCTCCAGTTTTGGTCCCTGATGAGAGCTTCTTTTCCTCTGGTTAGGGCTCCATCACTTGGCCCATGAAAAGCACTGCCCCTGGGGGGAAAGAACAGGAAGTGGAAGTTGAGAACAGGAAGCCTGAAATTCACAGATCAACTGAGACCTGAGCAGGTGGGTGAGTATCTGGGGTCACAGGTGCTTAGATGACTGAGTTAGGACTGCATGGTCTATCCCGGAGTACCATTTCCACCAAGTGGGGGAGTGGAACCAAGTTCTATATTCTTTGCCCAGAGTCTTTGGTGGGGGGGCGGTGGAGGGGCGTCTACCTCTGCATGGGCTGGAGTRCCCCAGGCAAGGATGTTGGGAGGACAGGTGACACTGTGGAGTTCTGTGCTCACCTGTGGGGTTGTGTCGAACCACAAAGAGGAAGGGTCGGTCCATGACAATCTCCTCAGGTGCCATGCGGGCTGAGACCAGGATGGCTAGGAGAGAAGGGACAATGTCTTAGGACAGAGGGACCTCTGTACCAGTGCCTGAATGGATCCCCGGGGACTTGGTATCACCGGCCTTCCATCTGACAGCAGCACKGGGAGGTGACTTTGCCTCTCTGAATATGGGTCTTGGGGGTTGGGGGATGTCTTCTGAGAACTGGTTTCCTCCAGAGGTTGGGCTGACATCTCTCAAGTGTTCTCTCAAACACTTTTAGGGCTTGCTGATCAGCAAGCTCCTTACATTTAGGTCACACTGTGAGACCGACCTGGGCTTTCATTTGGAGGACTTTTCCACATTCAGGGGCCTTAGGAGTCCCAGGGAAAGTGGGCCCCTTTCCAGGTTGAGAAACGCGTGGGGGAGTGTCATGACAGGGCCACTRTCCCCGGCACAGGAAGTGTGCTCTGAACAGAGAGGCCCACATGGAACTGGGAAGGGGGGTCCATTTGGGGTCTAGGACTAGTTATTCTGCAGGGTGAGTGAGGCATTGGCTGGTGGCCYCTCCTAGTAGCCTTGGGCTGAGACTGGTGGAGCCTCTCCTGCCAGACTCACCCGTGGAGGAGGATGCTACCGTGCCACTCTCGTTCACCTCGATCTTGACTTTTTGCAGCGCTTGTGATACATAGAGAAGCTCTTGGACTGAAACAGAGAGGAATACAGGGTGGATCAGCCACTGGTCTCAGAGCAGCTCCTTTATSCTCTACAGGGGCCCATGACCCATGGGGATAAGGAAGCAGGAAAACTTCTCACCTGAAAGACTCGTGAAGTCTGCCTGGACAGGGCTGAACATGTCGGTCATCCCCAAGTTCTCCAGGGGCTTCCTGAGGTCAACTTCAGTTTCCAGGGAGAACCTGCAGGCGGCAGGGAGAGGGGAGACAGCTCAAGCCCTGCTTCCTGTTACTGGCAGCATCTGCCTCTCCCTGTCCCCCATCAGGTGCAACGGGGGCAGAGCAACAGGGTAGGAAGTCATGGGAACATGGAAGAGGACTGTTTTTTTTTTTTTTTTTTTTTTTTTTTTTAAATCTGTTTGCAAAGCCTCTCTCTTTGCTGGAGGTTTCTAATATTAATGAACATTCTTCTTCAATCTCCTCACCCCCTTGAATCTGTGACTAATTACTTTCCTCAAATAAGGCAGTATTTTAAGCATAATTTTATTCAATCTGACTAGGGGGCCAAGGGCGAATTCTCCTGCCAGGATGTTTGAATAAAAATCTGGTCTGTAGATTGTGTTTCAGAGAGCTAACCCTGAAGAGGACTCAAGCAGTGAGGTTTGGGGGCACTCTGCTTCCCACCAGGGCACAACTAATCACCTCGATTTTTTTGTGTGTGGTGTGTGAGAGAAACAGAACCAGCTACCCAGCTAAATTCTCCTCTTTCCCCAAGGCTGTCATTTTAGCATCTGGAAGTTGGGAATAAGCCTGTGGGAGTGTCCCAGCAATTCTGGAATTACCCAGCCTCAGCCGTCTCCACCCCCTTTGCTTTGTAGAAGGATTGAGAAAATCTGCTCTCCTTAAACTCCAGCCAGAAGCCATAGCTCAGGCTGCCCCATCTTGAAATGATTCCTTTTGTTCCACTGTTAGGATGTTGATTCAAGGAGGTGGGGGTGGGAGTACTGGTCCTTCCTGCTCTCCTGCATGTAGACCCATTCAGCATCCCTCCCCCACATCGTTTTTCCAGCTCTTCCTTTGGCTGGCTGTCACTGGGTATTTCTGGGGGTGGTCAGTATGGGGGCATAGTCTGGAAATTTCCCTCCAGAGAAGACAAACAGAGGGATGATTCAAGTGATCATAATGGAGCCCAGGCCAGAGCACTTCCCTCCAGCCTCCCACACATGCCCCCACTTGGCAGGCATCAGAGATATGGGAAACTCAACCCGGGGGCAGTAATTTCAGGGAACTGGGAGACAGGGAAGATCAAGACATTGGCAAGCATGGCGAGAGCCTAGAATAGCTTACTTGGGCAGAACCAGGAGGCGGGGCAGCCTGGTCATGTTGCCTTTCCACTGGCTGATGAGCTCAGCATCCAGAATATTGGTGAGGGCAGAGAGGGGCACATCTTTCTCATAGGGAGCTGCGATGAACATGCTGAGGGTCTCCCCATGGTAGGGCAATTCCAAGATGTCATAGTAGTGGCCATCAGGGGTGGTGAACTCAGCTGTGAAGATAACCAAGATGGCRGGTTGGAAATGGCTCCAGCCCTTATTAAAATATCCCAGCCCTGGGTTTTCAGCTATTTCTCCTGTCTTCTCTACTCTTTCTGGAAGCCAAGTGCCATTCCAGATTATTTGTTTGGTATTAGAGTCTCTCTACCACTGAGCCACATTCCTGGCCCTTTTTTGCTTTTTTTAAATTTTAAGACAGGGTCTCACTAAGTTGCCTGGGCTGAATTGCTGGGATTATAGRTATGYCCCGCCATGCTCAGCTTCCATTTCCACTTTTGAGGCTTGCCTTCCCACTGTCCCCATTCAGTGTTTGTTTATTTGTTGTCCCCCTGGCCCCTGATGCTGGGGCATTGAACCCAGGACCTCACACAGGTTTGGTGAGTGCTCTACCACAGTCCACATCCCAGTCCACAGTCCATGTTTTGAGTGGCATTTGCTTGTTTTTGCAGCACTGGGGAGGGAACCCAGGGCCTCCTGCACACTAGGCCACCACTCTCGGGCCCTTGGTATAGAGCCCCATCCCCTATTCAATGGTTTGATTTCCATTTCCCTACTCTTCTGCCAATTCAATGTAATCTGGTTTCTCTCCTTTTTGACCTTCTTGACCTTCTCTGACCTCCTCCCAACACCCTGTCACTATTTCATTCCAATCCTCATCCTTTTAATCCCAAGTCCCATGTAGCCCTCCTCCCAGCCCTATATAATCAGCCCTATATAATCTTGCCACACACCCTGAAGTRGAGAGATGGGGTCAGGTGGTTGATCAGATGTGGACCTGAGGGAATTTCTAGATTTTGGCTTCATCTGGCATGAGAAAAAAAAATTCCTTTCTTCTGCTCTCATTATCCAAGTGGGAATATTTGTCAAAATTGGGGTGAATACTAAGGTTAAACGGAAATGCTCCCTATGATCCTTCTCCCCAAGAAGGCGACATTTTGGATGTTCTCTGGGAGATCTTGGGGAAGAGGGGCCCTCGTTGTGAGATTGAGAAGGGGGGTCTTGTACTTACTGTAGTTAAACTTGTTGGTCTGAGACATCATGGGCACGAAGACAGTGCTGCCATCAGACTTGTGGAAGAGGCGGCGGTGGGTGGCCAACTCTGGGAAGGGCGTCTTCCACTGGCCATTGAAGTAGAGGGCGTTCACCAGCACCAGACGTGTCAGCTGGTCCACAGCCTCCTTGCCAAGTAAGTCACTGATCATACCTGTGGACAGCCAGTCATCAAAGGGATGTCCATTGAGGGGATTCAGTTRGAGGGTGGGGTGGAATGGGGTGAGTGGATCATTCTAACTGCTTCCAATTTGTTCCATCTTCCTGAGTCCCAGGAAGTCTTTTCTCACCATGCTTTCCTGATGCTAGGATCCTGTTCAGGATCAGGGTTGGAAACTTGACCCTGTCCATTGCCCCAATACTAACATCTGGTCATTGTGTGTACCAATGTTAGTGCTGCTCTTACTAAATCTCATASTTTAGAGGGATGCCTTTGGTGTTGGTTCTTGAGAAAGTCTAATTAAGGAAAATATTAGCTATTGAGCCCTGTTCTAAAGCACCTGTGTCTCCAGGGAAGAGTGTGCTGAGGGGAGGCCCCTGGTGTCATGGCTCCCTTTCCCTGCCTGCTCACCTTTTGTGTGTCTCTTCACCCAGTCATTGATGATGAATCTGGCTCTGTCCACCTCTGAGAAGTCCACCTGCTTGACTGTGCTCCGGAACATCCTGAAGAAGTGGGGCATGAAGCCCTGGACCAGCTTCACATCCCGCTGGACAAAGATGGCGTCTGTGCTGCTGATCTCATCCTTGTTCCATGGTCCTATGAGCTCCTTGTACAGCTGACGGAGGGCCAGGGCCATGCCCTTCTCTGTGCCGAGGCAAGGACAGGGCATGTTACATTCATGTTGGGCCAAGGACTCCCAGATGGCCAGCCTTCCCCAGGAAGGCCAGACCCTGCTTGGATGCACATGGTTCTTCTGCCCCCTCAGAGGTCTCTGGAGGGAGATTTCATTCCAAACCATAATCTTGACATCTCCCTTCTTTTCTTATAAGTCTTGGTCCTACCCCTTTCTTTGGTTTAGAATATTTTTCTCTTTTCTTAAGTTACAAACCTTAATTTTTATAATAATGTTTATGCCAAATATTTCAGATGATTCTGTTTAATATTGACATAGCCCTGTGTATTGGGCCTTTTTAGTACTCTCATTCTGTAGAGGAGGAATTCATGGTTTAGAGGAGTTAAGGAGCCACAGTTAATAAGGGTCAGTTCCACTGGTCAAGGGCCAGTCAAGGGCCAGTTAAGGGCCCAGTGGTATAAGGTATGTGGGAAGAAGACGGGGCACTCCCTCTATTGCACAAGGGTGGACCTGGCTGGGCTGGAGCCAGCCTGTCCCCAGCTTCTGCTAGGTTCGGCCTCTACTCTATGAAGCCCACCTGACTCCCCGCCTCCCACTCTGTCCTGTCTCTCACCATTAATGTTGAATCCCATCGCTGCTTGAATCTGCTTCTGGGTCTCTCCTCCAGTGGTTGCCTGCAGCATGGCCAGCACTGAGGCCACCCCGTAGGGCGAGAAGACCACATTGCGGTCCTTGGAGGCCCGGGCCACCTGCTGAAACACCTTCACTCCGAAGTCTGTGGCCAGATGGGYGGCCTGGTACTCATGCCGGTGCAGGGTGGACCCTTCAACAAAGAGGAGGGCCAGGCCCAGTGCCAGGCAGGCAAAGACTGGAGACAGCTGCATCCTAGAGCAAATGGAAGAGGGTCATATGAGGGAATGTTCTAGAGGATGGCTGAGTGGACAGCTGTGGGCTAGCCTCCTCTTTCTTGCTGCCACCTGGGGATAGATGAACAGGACAGCTTCTGATTCATTAAAGGGTCACAAACAGTGCTGAGCCTGTCAAACTTGGCCRCCATCTGATTCTTTTCACTGGTCAGCCCTGGGGAGACTTAAGCAATTTTTTTTTTTTTTTTTGTATCAGGAACTGACACTTAACCAATGAGCCACATTCCCAGCCCTTTATATATTTTTTAAATTTAGAGTCAGGGTCTCGCTGAGTTACTTAGGGCCTTAATAAATTGCTGAGACTGGACTTGAACTCTCGATCCTCCTGCCTCAGCCTCTCAAGCCACTGGGATTACAGGMGTGCACCACTGCCCCTGGCTTGATCCTATTTTTTACCTGTGAGAATCTTGCAAAATACCAGTGGGTCTCCCAATCCCTCCAAGGGGCTGAAAGGCTAAATTACAATGACATCTTTGAACTGTGCAACTTTTCTAATTCTCTTATCACATGTCCCCAACTACAGCTTCATTTGAGTTAGCAGCATGAAAACCCCCCTCTCCTTAGGTAAGGAAGCAGCAAGCACCTTGCAGGAGAGGGACAGAGTAARGTCCTTGTTTCTGGGTGACAGGGTTGTTGGTGGGGCCTGATTACCCTCAGCACTCTCCTGCTGCCAAGCCAAGGTGCCAAGGCAGGATTGGCTGAGAGCTACAGGGGTCTGGGGAAAGAATACAGAGGAAAAGTGGGGATCGAGGATGGAGGAAGCCCCTGGGTGAGAGGTGAGGGAATTTGCTTTTCTCCTACCTGAAGTTCTCAGAGGAGCCTTGTGACTGGCCGTTTGTCCTGCAGGAGCTGCAGCTGTCTAGCCGCTGCTGGAGGAGGGGGTGTGGCCTTCCTTCTTGACAGCGCTCTTGGCCTTGCAACCAGCCACAGCTGTGCTCCTCCTGGGCCGCTGCTTCCCTTTATACCAGATGCRGGCAGGAAATAGATGAACTCATGTTCCAGCCCCACCCACTTTCTGGCTCTGGAAGTTCGTCTGAACCGCCAGCCAGGCCCCCCTTGCACCTCCCTCTCTAGGGCTTGCCGAGGCGTGTGTGCATGTCACTGTGTGTGTACGTGTGTAAGAGAGGGCTTGGGAACAATTGAGCAAGTCCTGATTGCCCGAGTCCCAGGGCCTTGCTTGATCTGACCACCCTGATGTCTGTGTTCCTCTCTCTTTGGTCAGCTTGACCCCTGGCTGTGCCAGATGGTCCATGATGACCAGGGTTCAGGATCACCTTCCCTGGCGCTCAGCTTGGGCAGAAGYAGCCCATGTACTCCCTTCCCGCTGGAGAAACAGGTAGCCGTGGAGGATCCAAGAACCCAATGGACTTTGTGCMCTTCTCTCTGCCAGCGCGCTCTACCCAGCACCCTGGCTAAGCTCCTGGCTAAGCTCCTCCCTCCTCTGGGTCTTAGCCCAGTGGCCGCGGGCATGTGGTGTGCCAGGAGGTTGTCTGGGTTCTGACTGTTCTGTACTGGGCCTCCACAGAGGACTGTGGGTCCCTGCCTCGTCCCCACCATGTGCCCGCCCAGCTCCTGATGATGCACAGTTGAGTCCCTCCACGTGTCCAGACTCTCTTGGTGCCCTCGAGGACTCTCCTTGTGCCAACAGCACTCTGACTGGAGTTTGAGGAGTGCTGGGTGGGGTAGAGGTGGGTAGAGGTGGTAACCAGGGGTTACCAGGGTAAAGCTTTGGCAAGAATGGACCTTTCATTTCTTCGAGCTGCCTTTGGTGGCTGGGAGGGGCAGCGCCTTCTCCTCCTTCACCCATGACACTGAAGGCTGGAGCCACAGGAGGAGGGACAGGAGAAAGCAGAGTGTCAGTTCATGGTGGGTTTGTGGGATGTGCTTTTAGGGCCTTGCGCTTAAAGGAGGAAGAGTGACGCTGAGTTCTTCAAGGGTGGGCGTTGGCTAGTGTGAGCCTGTAGGACCAGGGGAGGGCGTTGGGGGAGTTTGGAGGATCAGGAGCCCTAAGCCATGTAGCCTGGATGCTGAGGGTGGAGGGGCCACAGGGGAAGGCCGGAGGCTTCCTGCAGGGAGAAAAATGGAGCTGTCTGCTTCAGGGTCCATGCGTTGTCATGCTCCTTGTAGGGGAYGGGTTTCAACAGGCGGTCTCCATAGAGACAGCTGATGGCAGAGTCACAGGAAGTTTAAGTGGGTGGTAGCATCAGGATATTTGTTATGGATTTTTCTGTAAACAGATGCCAAGGGCAACCGCAGCTGAGTGGCTTTCCCATCTTGACTTTGCCTCCACTTTTGTTTCCTCCGACGGTTCTTGGAGTCGGGTGGGGGTGGGGGYAGGGAATGAGGGAAACCTCAGTCGGAAAGTTAGGATCACAGACACAAGAGAGAACTGTTCCTGTGCATCTGTCTCTTGTTTATGTCTTTTTCCTTTTCTCAGTTGTGGTTTGAAGGACCTCAGAGGGTGGTTAGTGGTGAGGGAGAGGCAGTGCCCTTGACCTCTCCAAGGGAGGAGACCGAAGCCCCTCTCCAGCCCTACCTCCTYCCCGCCATCCTTAGGGATCAGAGGGGAATCCCGAGAGTCTGGGTTGGGAGTGCCAAGCCCCAAGGATTCAGAAAACAGTGAATGTGGTCATTTTTAGAAGTGGACCCKCCAGGTGCCCTGGTCCAGCCTCTTGATCACCTTAGTGGAGACTCCTTCCCTTCCCCTGAGTCATTGCCACAACCCGCCTGGCTCAACCATGAAGGCCTCTGCTGTGATCTGTGGATGGCCTGGGCCTGGCCAGGCAGAGGCCAGTTCTACCCCTGTCATGGACCTCATGCCATTCCAGAAAAGACACTCTGTTCTGTGGCACARGAGAGTTGGGGAGCAGCTCTATGTCCTGACTGGGGAGGGGTGGGGGTGTACATCATCCTTTGGAAAAAAGATTGACTCACAGGGAGACTTTTCCCAAACTGGAGGGAATCTGTAGGCATCTGTAGGTGGATGTTAGGAACTAAGGCAAGACCGGGCCGGTAGGGCGCCATGCTGGTTTGCTGACTTCTCCTTTGACCCCTGGTCAGCTGGGCTGATGGTCCAGAACCCAGACTTGACCTTGGTCCCTGCCTGTCCTCTGCACGCACATGGCCTTGTCAACCCTTGGCGGGGTAGAAGAGCTGGCCTTCCGTGCRCAGGGTGCAGTTTCCTGCAGGCTGCTGGGGGGCTGCTGCCCCAAAGCCTCCCCACAACACCCTTCTGGGAATCTAGCCCGACTCACTGTGTTGTCACTTTTGCTTTTTTATCCTGAACCCCAAACAACTCTGACCCAATCTCTCAAGCTCTGGCTGTTTTGTAAGGGGTCAAATGGACAGAGAGAGACAGAAAAGTCCCTGCTGTTGAAATAAGTGGATCTCTGATTTCCGGAGGGTTGGAGATAAGAGACTCAATGACAGGGCCATGAATTTCTGGGGGAGTTCCAGAACTAATTGGGAAAGAGAGCGCTATCTGACCCGCAGCAGGTGGTTCRTGACCAGGCCAGTGTCACATTTTCCGCCACCATCTCCCACCCTCACGTAGGCCCTGACTCCTCTGGGCCCAGATCGCCATCCTCCTGGCGCCCCTTCACCCCTTCACCCCTTCACCGCTGCCCTCTTGCCCTCTTTCTGCTCTCTTGCTCTCTCACACCAGCCTCCCGCTCACTCCCTCTCTCTCACTTTCCCTTTGTCCCTGTCTCCTCTCCTCTCCCTGCATGTGATCTCTCCCAGGCTCCCACCTCCTCCCTTCTGCTCTCTGACTCAATCTCTCTTTCCCTCTCCTCCACCTTCCAGAATCCCTTTTACAGGCAAACACTGCTCTCAGGAGCCCTTCCTGTGGGAAGAGAGCTCTGCCTCCCCCAGTTACACAGACTCCCTGGAATGCTGGGCCCGGGCTCTGATGGTTGCTGATTTCAGTGGGAGAGCTGGGGGTGGGAGAAGGGCAAGGTCCTGCTAACTCATGGCGCTATTTCTGGACTGGTGGCTCTCCAAACAACACAACTCCCAAAATAGCCTGTGTTTGGGCTTGGCTCCCTCTGTCCCTCTCTAGGAGTGAGCTTCTGTTCATTGAGGATCCTGGCTGGAAGAGCCCAGCATGCAGCAGTGTTGGCTTGTCCCACGCCCCCTCCCCAAACTAGTTCCTGACTTGCCCGTCTCAGTAGCACCCATTCTTTCTGCCCTCTCCAGCCTCTGTTCAACCTCACTCCCTAAATTCTTTCTTTCTTTTTTCCTTTCTTTGGCACCCCGGATTGAATCCAGGGGTGCTTGACCACTGAGCCACATCCCCAGCCCTTTTTTATATTTTATTTAGAGACAGGGTCTCACTGAGTTGCTTAGGGCCTGGCTAAGTTGCTGAGGCTGGCCTTGAACTGGCCATCCTCCTGCCTCAGCCTCCCGAGCTGCTGGGATTCCAGGCATGCGCCACCGTGTCCGGCTCCTTAAACTCTTACAGCACTCAAACCCGCGCTGTTCCTCTGTGTAGCCCTTGCTTGTCCCCTTTTCCTCCAATTCATAAAGTTCCATCTAACCCAGGAGGAGCCMTCTTACCCAGTCCTGGGGTTCAGAGAGGCCGCACAGTGACAATACCACAAATGGAAGAATGGTGACCATGGAATTGGACCCAGCCTACAGGCAGGGATGTGATCCTCAGTGACTCTGTGTCTCAAGGCAAAACTTAGCTTTTCGCGCCTCAGTTTTCTCTTTGTTTATTTATTCTATGCCTCAACCCAGGGTCTCGGGCCTGCTAGGCAGGCACTGTACCAGACCTCAGTAAAACAGATCAGGATTCCCATCCTTCGGGGTTGTTGTGAGGTTTGCTTGAAACAGCATCTGTCCTAGGTTGGGAATTCTTAGGCTCTCACCAAGTGTCTGTCCGCCACTCTCGGTGGGTGGCAACACCAGGACGGGAGCCCAGACAGCCTAAGCCGTTAATTTTGATATAAAGCAAGCTCCCTGAGGGAGGAATGCTTGGGTCTTCTCTTTAGCTTCCCTCGGTGGTTTGGCAGAGTGTTGGCCTGAAGTGCCCTGGCAGGGGATTGGCAGGTTGCCAAGAGGGTGGCTGCCAGCCCCAGTTGTCCCTTTCAGGCCAGATCTGCCTGTTTCCACTCCAGCCCTGTCACTCACGCTGGCCCAGTTTGCTGGCTTTCACTTCTTCTCTGGGCTTCAAGATCCTGTACAGACGCTGCTCACGTTCCTGGCACATTCTGATTTCTTGAACATTCCAGGGACGAAGGCGCCTTGTTTCACCAACAGGTAAAACTGGAGCTGGGTTTGACTGGGCCTTTGGAGCTGTCCTTTGCCACCACACTACCCCAGCGTGTTAGTTCACTCTTATCCCTTGGCACCCCTTGTCTGGAAGTCATTTCTGCACTGGAATTCAACGTGGCCCTCCACGTGTCTTAGGTACCTAATTTCCTGAGGGAGAAATTGCAATTTCAATTTCTCCGTCAATGTGCAATGGGAGCAAAGGATCTCCATGGACCTCAGGCAAGAAGGAGGTTCCTCAGGCCCAGTGTGGCCACCAAGAGGAAGTCTGATGGACAGGGAAGGGTGGGGTGGTGCATGTAGATGTGACCACAGAGCCGGCCCATGTCAGCAAGATAGACTGCAGGGCACCTCGGGGCCTTCCTGGCTGGATTCCGTCCCCCTCGTCCACTTCTCTAATCACTTCTCTGGATCACCCAGCTCTGATTCACTCCTTCATCCTGACCAGCCTGGTTCCGCATTCCCTGCATGCCTAAGTCTCCCTTTACATCATTCTGTGGACACATCCTGTTTTCATTAGACCCTGGTTATGTATGAATCTTGGCTTCCCCGACGTGGCCCACTATTCCTTGACGGTGTGAAACTCAGAAATGTGAACTTCTCCCTTCCCTGAAAGGGCATCATAGACACGTGGGAGATAAAGACCAACGTGCATGACAGGATCATAA